TGATTAAATAAATGTGTTTTATTTATACTCAAAAGTATAGGGCCATATTGGATTCGATTATTCTTGTGTTTCACTTTGCATGTTTTGACTTCCCGAATAATTAGATTATTCAAACCATCCAAAGTCAATAAATACTTTGGAAGTAGGTATTGAAGTCAGACTGTCATGAATCCAACTGTAGATTGTCTGAAGCGTTTTAGACATAGAAAAAGTTTGTTGTAGTATTCATGAGTACTCCTGAAATAAGATTTGAGTATTGGATTAAACCCACACTCACTTGAATCACTTCATGGATTTTATCACGGGTGATTAGTGAGACGATAATATCTTATATTCTTGAAACGCAGACGTGTGAGTTGCAATTTACAAGTTGGTTGCACATTGATAATATGTAAACACACCAGTAACTTGGTGTTATAGAACATATTGTTGTGTGTGATTTGATGAGTAGGTACAAGCGAGCATTTGAGTCAAAGTTTATCCGTTCCTTTTACCCAAAGTAGGATAAATGTGATATCTATGGGCCCGTCGATGATTTAGTGATGACACCCTAAGCGTTTGGCCAAGCCGAGACTAAGTTGATGTGTTCAATTGTAGTCTGTTGTCAGTCATCATAAATCGGAAATCGGGAAACAACACATGAACAGTGAGTATGATTAAAATCCATGTCTCAGTTCATACGATATCTAGAATGGAGGAATATATGATCCATTGTCTAAAGGACGCGTTACTGATAAGATCAAAGTTGACAACGACTTTTGAAAGCTACGATTGTTGATCAGGTTCTGAAGTCGTACTTGCAAAATAGTTATTAGACTTATCCAAGTGGGAGACTGTTAGATTAGGTGTCTAAGCTCATAACTATTTTGGTATGTACTTGACCCGATTATGAGCATGGTCCTTTTAGGTTGCCTTCACTATAGCAATGGATATGATGAATTAAGGAGAAAGAGGCTTAATTATGATTTATTAATATATTATGTGAATAATATATTAAAAGAGAAATCATATTTTTTTTAATTAATATTAGTCAAGAATTAATTAATAATTAATTTTGTGGCTAAAGGAGATTAATTAAATAAAAGGGACTGATACTGTAATTATAAGATAATTACGAAGATTGAGCTTAGGATCCATAAAGGAAGCATGTACGGATTCTATATGAGAGTCCATATAGAAATCATCCAAGGGCCTTCTGGAAGGATCTTTGGACTGCTTAAGGACTAAGCAGTTGGATTTGGGTTTCCTAGTTCATAACCCTAGAAGCCTAAGTATAGAAGGAACCCTTAAGCCTCCAAAAACGTGTCCAACCTTCTAAGAGAAACCCCATGACGTTTTTGGTGCCTCTTTCCTCTTTCTTGTTCATCTTTGTTGCTTATGCGTTTGTGACTCCATTAGAGGTGCAAAATTTGAGGCACTAAGCTTTTAGGAGTCAATATCAAGAAGGATTTTGATTGTTAGTGCTACATAACAATCAAGGTAATATCTAAACCCTAGTTTATATGTTAATTTGATTGTTATATGCTAGTCAATTAGGTTTTATTGCTTTGGTATTCAATGTTGTATGTTTACTTAGAAAAACCTATATCAAAGTAATTAGGGTTGCATTTACACCATAGGATTGATGTTATGCACATAACACATCAAATTCTTCATCCATCCTTATTTTCACTATGTTCCATGGATGTTATCTTACATATCCTTGGTTTTTCACATACACATAATGTAACACCCGAAATCTGATTGTGTTTTTCATTCCATGATTAGTGGTTTTAAAGTCCAAGGAAAAGGTGGGAGTAAGGAGCAAAGTGAGATGCAAAAAAGCGAATTAATCATAAAAATTCATCTCAGGCGCAACGCGCCCCTTATAGGCGTGAAACGTCCCTACGGATTAGGCTTAGGCCTTATGCCTCGGGATATGGGCCTATTTAAGAGCATTAACCTCTAGGGTTTCATCATTTTCAACACCCATCACCCTAGAACGCCTCGAATGAAACCATAGCCTATTTTGAAGTGCTTAGAGCCTATCCTCTCTCCTAAGCTCGGTTTGGTGCTCTTATGGTGATCATGAATAATAGGAGCATGCAAGCTTGGGCAAGTAAGCATTGATCTTGAAGAAGTCTGCCTTCTCTGCACCTATAGACCTTATTAAGCTCTAAATATTCAAGTTTTATTATGTTTCCTACATAGATCTAGAAGTTGGTTGGGTCTTTGGTCCTTTTTAGTGAGTTTTGGTTCCTTTGAGGTTTGTTTCTTGGAGTTTGAGGAACTCTAGAGCTTTTCAATGATATTTAGGATCAAATTTGGTCGTTGGATGGAGTAAAAAGTGAATGCAAGAGCTCTTTTTGCTTCATGCATTAAGATAAGGGCATTTTGGTCACTTTTGGGTTTTAGATCTTGTTTGTTTGGGTCATCCGAATGGATACAGTTGGAAAATTTATCCATTAATACATTAAGGAGTTTCGAATCTGAAAATTGTGGCTTCTGACTTAATGGATTAAGTCGTTTAATAAGTTGTTTTGGGCTCAGACATGGGGAGCCTCTGAGTTTTTCCTGATTTCATGACTAAATTGTCTTGTAGTAGGCGATGAGCGCCTAGGAGGGGTCGCATAGTTCCTTTGACCGTTTCCTTTGCATTTTTGATTTGTTATCAAGTTTGACTTTGGGGATTGTAGATTTTAGACTTAGGTTTGACTTTTTTTTTTGTGTTTAGACGGTTTGTGAGTCCGTTCTATGCAAGTATTTATGTATGCAACAGTGATTCTTCAGTTCCTGTTTAGGTGAGTCTTCTCATTATACAGAGCTATAAACGAACTGAACGTTTAGCGAACAGTTCATGAACCGGTCAACGGAAAGTTTGTTTATTTAATAAATAAACTAACACGCACATAAATTCCCGTTCGAATAGTTAAACGAACGAACTTGAACACTAGTCTCGTTTGTTCAATTATGTTCGTGAACGTTCGTTTATGTTGTTCATTTAAGTTCGTTTATGTTTGTTCATATAAGTTCATTTTATATTCATATATGTTTAATCGTGTTTGATTATATTACTATATTATATGTTTATTTATGTTCATATATCAATTATGTTTTTTTTTAGTCTTTGTTTATTTACGTTCATTCGTTTAACTTGAACATAAACGAACGAATATGAACAATGTAATTTGTTAAAGGAACGAACACGTACAAGAAAACTCGTTTATTTATTCGTTCGTTTTCATTCATTTGTTTGGCTAACTTAAATGAACAAACACACACACACACACACACACACACACACATATATATATATATATATATATATATATATATATATATATATATCCTTACTACTTATAAAAGAAATCTAACTATTTCTATAAATAGATTGAATATAATAATATTATTTTTTTAAGACATCAAAACTATTAAACTTGAAGTACAACCCATTTATAATATAATAATATTAAAACTTTAACCCTATCATTTATCCCCTAAAAATCTTGTATCAAATTAATAGAAGAATTTATTTGCAAATTGAACCCGTCAATCTCAACACTTCAGCCATTTGAAGCGGTCAATGTCAACAATTTATAGATGATCTCTTCTCTCACATTGGTAACAAGTCATCTCATAATATCTATCTTCGTAATCCCTTCAAAGTAAAAAATATACACACACTCTCTCGAAGAACCCTAACCAGTAACCAAGACAGTATAACCACCACCGCCACAGCCACTCTGCCTCCTTCCGCCTTCAATCAACCACTATCACGATTACCGCTCTTCCTCTCACCCACGATATGAACTTTCTTTTGGAACATAACATTTTTCTTTAAAACATATCGTTGAAAGAAGTTATTTGTCCCCGCCGTTGTGCGCGGGTAACGGTTAGTATATATATATATATATATATATATATATATATATATATATATATATATATATATATATATATATATATATATATATATGAGTGAACCCAAATTTAACCAATTTATGTAATAAGTTGGATCGCATACTACATAAACAAATTAACATGATAACTCATTTATATAAAAAAATTGGATTTTATTAAAAATATCAATCTATTTCTATTTAAATAAATAAAGTGCATTGGATTTTAAAACTTCAATAGACTCAAAATTTGTTGTAATCTCTATTGAAAATGCTTTAATTTTCTTTTAAGAAAAAAGAATAAAAAAGCAATCGTGGTCATATGTAAGAAACAGCTCAATCGAAGAAACGTCTGTCTACCACATCTCTCATCTCCGTCACCGGCGTCGTCAATGGCTACTCAATCTGCTACTTCTGCTTCTTCTTCTACCAACATTCAGCCGCCACCACCACCACCACCCAAGGAGTCGCTCGGCCGCCGTTACAAATTCATCTGGCCTCTTCTTCTCGCTGTCAATTTTTCCATCGGAGGTACACTTCATAAATACCTTTATAGAAAACATATTTAGGTTTTTCTATTCATGATGATAAATCTGATTATTTGCGTATGTTTTCGATTATCGATTACAGATAAGATTTGTCAGTACCTTTTTGCTTTTGTTATGCGTTCGACTTTGTGTTTGAAATTAGCATCGATGATTTCTTTCGATTTAGGATTCAAAATGAAAATTAGGGTCTCTAGATTCTTATTTTGTGTGTTCAACCAGAAGAATAAAAGGTTTGATCGACTCAAATTTTAGTCGATGTCATCCAAAAAGGCATCAACAATGGCGTCGATGACAAGTTAATTATTCTCGCCTTATAATATTTATGCATTTTTATGGCAAAATCTGAGTAGACCTTTTATGAAGCTGAATGATTCCAACCCCTTAATAAAGTAAAAACTTGTTCATGCCATTTATTGTGTTTTATAGCTTACCTTTTCACAAGAACAACTAAAGAGGAGAAGACAGAGGGAGAGGTGCCTGCAACTGTGGTTACATCCACTGCCATATCAACCGCCACCGTGTCTCCTCCTGCCGCCCCAAAGCCGGTGAAACCAATCCCCATTGATGAACAGATAGAGCTCTTCAAGTGGATATTGGAGGAGAAAAGAAAAGTGAAAACAAAAGATCCTCAAGAGAAAAAACGAATCGATGAAGAAAAAGCCATACTCAAACAATTCATCCGCTCAAAGTCTATCCCCACCTTGTAGACATATAATAAATACACTTGGAATTGTACATTTGGTAATGTTGTATTTTGGTTTATCCCTTACATATTTGCTTGAATGTTGTATAAAGGTGTGAAAATTGGATTGTTGTTATTGTTGTTTTCTTCATGAAGTAGGTCATGATGGATTTATATTATTGAATACAATGGAAAGAAGAATGATGGTGTGCTAGTTTTCATATTAAAACAACAAATAAAACTTAAATTCAATTTAGATACAAAACCACAAACTCCATAAAAATGAGTATTAAAACTATCCAAAAAAATGATAAATTTTTGTTGTCAATCAATCATCTACTCCCGTGTTGAATATAAAACTTGGAAACGCTGTTGTCACATCCCTAACAAATGAAAAAAAAAAAAAAAAAAAAGTCAACATAAACCTTCACAAACTAATTACAGAAATACCCTTTTTAACTGAAAAGTGACAATGGTACCTTAAAGATGGAAGAGTCATGTTTTTTAAGAGTTGGGGTCGTCGTATAACAAAGTTTCTCCACTCATCTTTGTTGATTCTTCCATCCATGTCAGCATCCGCATCAGCAAAAGTCTGAGAACAAAAGCACACAAGTCAAAATCAAAGAATGTGGATCTAATTACAAGAAGAAGAAGAAGAAGAAATAGTAGTTGATTCTGAGAAGTGAGAAGAAGTCTTGCATTATCGATTATCTCTTCAAGAATTTCTTCAGAAAGAACCATTCCGGTTTCCTTTAAAGTAGCAACAATCATTTCTTTAACCTGATAAAACATAAGTTATTAATGAGTAAAGACTAGAAAAGAGTTTTCGAGATGAAAAAGAGAATAATAACTTACTTCTTCTCTTTCTATGAACCCTGTTCGTCTTAAATCATATAATCTGAAGGCAACTGCAGAAAGGAAAACATGAGAAAAGGTAAAAAAGAAAATGATCCACCTGGAAGTGGAAGTAGGTTGTCAAAACTTACAATCAATTTTTTGTTCCATTGGGGCATGAGGATGGAAGATGCTTAAGACATGGACAAACTCCTCGAATTCAATAACACCATTTTGCTTCTCATCAAATAGATCGAAAACCTGGATATGAGTAAGAACATGATATAAAAGATTATCGAATCTTCAATCAAAAAATGTCATCAGTTTTGTCTGATTGTGAAGTAAATTGTGAGTTTAAGTAAGGATTTACCCTGTTCAAGAAAAGATTCTCTCCACCTGCTGAATTGAGTAAAGCTAATTGGAGCTCCTCCTTTATGTAAAGAAACAATAAAAACGTAAAGTGTTATTGCCAGTTGGAGCTTCTCCATAATCGTGCAATTTCTGTAGCTTTATGTAAACTCAATTACTACCTACAATTGAAAATACTTAGGTTTTGATGCTTTTGAGGAATGTTGCAATCAGGTATTTAGACGAAGTAATTGAGAAGAAATTTGGTGAAATTAAGTGAGAAGAATGAAGATATTTGAGGTAACTGAAGGAGATAGGAAATTGCAATAGCTAATTAGCATACCTTGTGTATGAGCCCATCGGTTATGATCGAATTGCTCAACCGATTGAACAATTCGCGCAATGCTTCCACTTCATTAACCGAAACTGTAACAATTTCCAGTATTAGAATATCCGAAACTGATCATAACATTCAGAATTTAGTAACAAAAATTAGGAAGGAAATGGAATACGAAAACGGACATGGAGAATTATGAGCGAGACGAGTGACGTCGTCAAAAGTGTGACCCGGCTTAACCGGAGAGCTTCTTCGATCATCGAAACAAGACGCAAAGCCGTAGATCAGAATCTCAAGTACCACCGCACACGGTATCAACGCCGCACATACTTTTTCCCCAACCGTCAGCGAGCTCGATCTCTATTTCTCCTAATCCAGATTCACATTTTCAGTCTCATACATATACGATAATGAAAATTCTCCCCCGTACAAAATAAACAGATAGAAAGCAAGTGAGTTCGGATGGAAGGCGACGATGTTTATATATATATATGCTCGTAAGAGGAAGAAAAGTACCGAGGTAGACGAGCTCGCCGCCGCTCCCATGGTTGCCGGAGAGATCTCAAACTTCTCAGATTTGATGTTGTAGTATGATGAGATCAAGGTTCGTATGAATATGCAAAATTCGAATCCAAATTCTATACTTCAATTTTCTTTTGGTAATCTCTAGTTCAAACGCATTCGTAATATCAAGATTTCGTACGCGCATTCATCGCAACACGTAACATAAAAAAGCCCTAGAAATTACATGTTTATTTTTTATTTTTCGTTTTAACGAGACATCGCTATTATGACCCGTGCAAAATTAGATTATAACCTGGTAAAATATGAAGAACATATAAATGTATCAAAAAATACGAAGTAACAAAAACAAATTTAACGTTATTGGTAACGAAAATATAAAAAAAACAATGAAATATATGTATATCTATAATTGTTAAAGAACCTTTTTATGTTACTAGTACCTTTAATCATTTTTTTACTTAGAATTTATGATTTGGGCTTCAATGACATGTCCTCAAAACAATCTGGTGATTATGTCTCACGTAAAGAATATGAATTCATATATGTTTTCCCTTTATCTTTCATCAATCCTACAAGCTCATATGTTTTCCCTTCATAAGGTGGCGTTTGGTTCATATTAATTTTTTTTAAGGAATGAAATCCAAATGAATTAGAATCTGATATGTGTTTGGTTGATATGAAATTAAATATATTTTATGTTTGGTTTGCTTATTTGTCAAAGGAATCGGAAAGAAATTCATGTAATATGACCAAAATACCATTTAAATGAATTTTGAAACTTATTCTTTTCTTAATAAAGTTAAACTAATTTCCTTAAATTATTTTTTTATTATGAAAATATTTTACAAAATTATGAGGTTATATTTTCTCATCTTCTCCACAATCTCAAAGCATGCCCCGTCTATTAAAAATAATTCACATAGGCAAAAACGCACACACCTTATATGCAAGCTTATAAAACAATAAATTGCATATCATCCATTAATAAAATCAAAATAAAAATTCCAACATGCCTACCAATACATCATATTAAAAAAATCCAAGTAATATTGGCATACTCAAAGAACAACGATGCATAAAAATTAGGTTAGTTCCTATCTTGTAAAGATAAAAATCGAACTACAAAGTATACAAAATGAGGGTGAAGAACAAGTAATTGCAGAAAATAGAAGGAATTGATATGCTTACTTGTCAACAAAGATTATGCAGGAACAAAGATAATGCAATAAAGCCCTAGAATGGCGAACCAGAATTGCAATGATCAAATGATAATATAGTTTGACATGCTATCGTTTTAGAGATAAATAATCACTTGAAATAACTTAATCGAAGGAGATATTAATCATGTCTTTGATTGTGATTTGAAAGAGTTCGCATAAGTAGTTTTGCACCGGGAAGGAAGGTCGTTTTTGTCTTTTTTGTGAAAGATATAGGATGGAATGTAGTTTCTTTATAATTAACTAATGATTTGTAAATGAGTAGTATTATTGTAGATAATGAAAACAAATTCCTTTTCTTTTGTAAGCCAAACACGCTTATTTATGGATTTTAAATTTCGTTTCTTTGTTATTCCGTAGCAATCCATGAACCGAACGGGCTAGTTTTCTTTCAAATTTTTATTACTTTTGACGGTTGGTTAGTAATTTTTTCTAGATGAATAGTTTACTTACATCAGCTAGTTTTGTATCGGAAACATATATGAGACGGTGAATAGTTTTTTTTAGGGCGGTGACTTCCCTTTCGGCTATTAGTTTATTATTAGAACATGTTAATTTCTAAAGAACCGACACATATTTTCCCATTAAAGTATATCTATATTGTAGGTTTTTGTTTTAGGTTGGAAAATCATGTTAATGCAGGGGTTAAAATAAAAGTTTGTTATTGGTTTGATTTGAAATTATAAGTACAATGCAGTTTGAGTTTAAAATGAGAGTGCATTTTTTTATTTAAGAATTTGTTGTCTTCTAAGTTCAAATTTAAAATATTTCATTGTTGTCGTTGCCAAAAAAAACGTGTTATTATCTTTAATTAAAAAATAAACATTTAATTAAAAATTGTCAAATTTAATTAATCTTATCAACAATTATCCTTTTTGATTAACAACTATTATTTTCAATAATTTATATTTGACATAAATAAATAATATTAATTTAAGTTGTAAATTTTTTTGACAATCATTAAATCGCCATTTTTATTTAACATTTTTAATTTAATTTTAAAGATTTTAATAAAAATAACTTACTTGGACTATAAATGACAAATTTATCCTTGAACAAGCCAACTTCTCTTTTTTTAGCAAAAATCTCATCTCCTACTCTAATAAAAGATTCATTTTTATTGCCACATGATATTTCCTCAACGCTTCAACAATTCATTTTCTCACTCACTTTCATTGCAAGTGAAATTACTTTATTACCGTTGAGCCATAGAATCTGCATACATCCAATCAAACTTCAATTACCAGTCTAACCATCAACATTAAAGTCTCCATAAATTCTGTTTCAATAATATGATTCTGTTTAACAATATTGTATTTCAATGATCCCAAGTATAAATGAACTGATTTGTACATAATAATTTTTCTCCGTACATAACAATTTGTGCTTTAAAATGTTGTATTGTACAACTCTATAATGCATCAAATGTTGTGTATGACAAAAAACTGTTATGTACGAATCACTTCCCCAACTATAAACACCATAAAAAATCATATTTTAATGAATGCAAAAATGCATAATGTTGCTAACATTTTTTTTTCTACTCTTCGCTAATTATCAAAATTTGGCACATCCATACATATAACATGTTTATAGTTTTGAATTTGGGAAATCTCCAATAAAGTCCTAAAATTTTGTCTCGGTTTATGTTTTAGTCCTAAACTAATTTTTGTTTACGGAAAAGTCCTAAAAACCGGCAAAAGTTTGCATTTTGACCCTTTTTGACTGGTTGAAACCGGTAACAAATTAATTTGTGACTATTTCATAAATTGATTCAAAATATTAGGACTTTTCTGCAAAAACAAAAAATATTAGGGCTTTTCTGCAAACAAAAACCTTATTATTATTATCATTATTATTATTATTATTATTATTAAAAATATAAATAATGATACTATTTTTTAATTTTGTTATTATTAATATTGTTAATAATACATATAAATATATTTAAATTTAAAAAATATTAAAAACATTTTATAAAGGTGAAAATTGAGTGGATGGTAATGCTTTAAGCATTAAAATTATGAATGTCTGTTTGTATATTCTAACTTTATATATGATCATTTCACATTTGTTATTATTGTTTTTAATTTAGAATATTAATATTTAACAATTTAAAGGAAGCTACTGATTTTTCAAATTGTTTACAAATAGTGAGCGTGTGATATGCATGTATGTGTTGTGTGTAACTATTTAAATTACCAACATGTGTGTTGCTCTTTTTCATTATTTGATCCTTGTGGTTTTTTTGAAAACGTAGTAGATATTGTGTGATAAAGCAAAAAAGTCATATTACTTTCTATTATATAAGATATTTTAATTAATGTTTTTTAATTTTGATATGGGTCACCAATATAAATATTTATTGTGGATCTGTTGGATAATAATAATAATAACAATAATAATAATAATAATAATAATAATAATAATAAGGTTTTTGTTTGCAGAAAATTTCTAATATTTTTTTTGCAGAAAAGTCCCAATATTTTGGGTCATTTTGTGAAATAGTCCCAATATTTTGGATCAGTTTATGAAATAGTCCCAAATTAATTTGTTGACGGTTCCAACCAGTCAAAAAAGGTCAAAATGCATATTTTTGCTGGTTTTTAGGACTTTTTCGTAAACAAAAATTAGTTTAGGACTAAAACGTAAACCGGACCAAAATTTTAGGACTTTATTGGAGATTTTCCTTTTGAATTTTACTACACTCCATATGTTAATTATGTTTTTAAGTTATAGCATCCTACTTTGATTTTAATCTTGTATGCCAGTGTACTTTCAATCTTTCATTTATTTCCATTTAACCTGTAATAACATTGTATTTTCATTGTTAATCTGGAATGGTAGCTTACACTATTTATGTTTTATGTCCCAGTTAGAGCATATCTTAAAAAAACATTTACATTGACCTTTTACAGGGATAATTTTTTTTTTTAAAAAAAAGTTACACTTTATGATTTAACTGCTAGCTAAGGGGTGCAATTGAGATGACAACCTTTAAATAATCTGAGGCATGAAGGGGTCAACATAAATGGACCCTCTAACTGAACACAAAATAAAAAAACATATAAAAATATACAATTGGTTTTTGTCGGTTAAAACAATTAAAAAAAGGTTTACAACTCTAATTTTTAACAAAAAGCAATCTGATGATTAAGCAAGAATAGATGGGTCAAATTTGGAAGAAAAAAAAGATCCAAATAGAAATTTAAAAGCAGCACGAAATTACAGAATTGAAAACTACTTTGTTCCTTTTGCCAGTATATGTAACGTGCTTCATTTTTTAAATATAATTACCAATACACAGTACATTTCTTTATCCATTGTAACAAGATACTTGTGCCTCTTTACACATAATAGCAATAGACATTACAATTCATTTCCCGTTAAAGTATACAAGCTCCAATCAATTCCATGTCTGTGATTTCTAACTTAATGTCCAACTATATTCTAAATTTAAATTTATGCCACTTTACTTTGTAGTTGACTTTTCATGCTTAATTTTACACAAAAATGGTATTAAGAAATGTCCATAAATCCAAATTCGCCAAGTTCTATTAAGTGTATATATATATATATATATATATATATATATATATATATATATATATATATATATATATATATATATATATATATATATATATTGTAGAATTCCAAGGGTTATGTGTAAACCCTAATTCTTACACTTGGGCTTGTAATGGACTAATACTATATGGATACTTACATAAGCTTAACCCATCACTAATCAATCATAGATTATTAGCCCAACGTATATATATCATTGATTTACACAATTAACCCCTGTAAATTTAATTTGTCTCTTTTGATCATTAAATTAATTCTAAATTAATTCTTGATCAATACTAATTAAATAATATGACTCCTCAATTAATATATTATACTTATAATATATTAATAAATCATGAGCAACCTCTTTTTCAAATATTTATACTATCGGATTGTTCTTGTGAATGCAACCCAAAATGAACCATGCTATTCTCGGGTCAAGTACATACCAATTATAGTTATGGGTTTAGACACCCAATCCAACAATTTCAACCTTCAACAGTAATAATGTGAAAATCGAACTTGCTGAATCACAATAACAACACAATTTGCAACAATAAATCGCCAATCACATTGGACAGGAAACAAGAAAAACTTTAAACTCAGCAAGAATTTCATATCTAACAAAAACTCAATTTTTTAAACAACAAAGAAAATCAAATAAACTCAATGGTCGATCAGAACCGGTCTCTGATACCACGTATGATACGTGTACGGAAAGAAGGGGGGGGGGTAACTTCCTTTTAGATTTTCTAGTTTTATGAACGCAACGAATA